TGGAATGGTGAATTGGCGGTTCAGAGATCAGGGCTACACACAGAGAACTGGGATTATGTGCAATTGTATGTTGTAGATTAAATGTGAACTCAAAGGGAGAATACATGGAGAGAGGATAATGGAAGAAGGGATAGAACACAGAGATTGATAAAGACACCAAAAGTAGAAAGATGAACAGTTGACAGAAGAAAGAGAGAAAGAAAAAGGGAAAGAGTAAGGAGATAGGAAGAGAAAAAAAAATATTTAAATTTGAGTTAATAGAAAAGGGGCTACCATGTCTTTATTACAATGTCAAATCTATGTACTGATTCAAGTATTCCATTAGAAAGTTATTTTATTGGGACATTCATGTGGCAGAGCCTCTGAAACTCTGCCACCCTTGTGCTGTGCTGTTCTGTGCCTGACTGCCCCCTCCTTCCCAGCAGAGGAGCCGTGGGCTGACAGTAGATTATGTTTTGGGCCCCTGTATTTTCTGTCAATGTGTATGCATTTGAAATAACAGCAGATGGGTGAGTACTAATTCCTAACATTATTACAGTGTTCTTCTGAAGAGGAATTAATGTTTAAATAGATGAACTTGACGATCAGGGTAAAGTATGTCACACATTGTGGTAAATCATTAAAAAGAATGCCCTGCTTCCTAATTGCTTTCAAAAATTTTTATGCAGTTGCTTATCTTTTTTTATTACATGTAGTCAAATTCTGTAATGTTGATGATTCACAAATAAAAAACATTAAATGTTCCTGATGGCCTGTAGACAAGGTTAATTTACACCCTGGAAGCCAGATGAGGTGTTAACTATATTCAGGTTGCACTTCAGTGGTTTGAAAGGTAATTGTTTTATATTCCCAGAGCTAAAAAGGGACTTCCAAAAATAAAGTAGACTATCAAACACAAAGAGACAATAAAACACTTGAATTGTTGTTGTCTTAACATTTCTTTCTATTCTGTGATGTATCTAGCACTAGTCAAAGTACTTTTCACCAAATAATAGTGAAAGGTGATATTTTGGATAAAATTTCATCACGATTGATTAGCATTTTGTAGCAACAATTTTCTTGAGTCAACAAAATTTAGAAAAAAATAGATAAAAAATTCCTTTTCTATTTGGGAAAATCCTAGTTATAAATTTAAAGATCTGAACCAGATTCAGCAAATCATGCCCATTCTTCTATGGCCTTGTCAGATCCTTTGGGTTCAGGACATGCTACCTCAAAATATGACATCTTGACGTTTGAGAAAACAATAGAAGCAGGAGAGTCACTCTCATCTTCCCCTCATCCCTTCTCCCCTGAAGCAGGCTATGAAACTTTACTGATCTTCCCCTAGTGTAGGTCATAAAACCTTCATTCCAAAGGTACCCACCACATACTTGGAGGAAAAAAAAATACTGTCATCACTGAAGACACAGAAACACAAAGAAGAATCTGAACATATAGGCCTTGCTAAGTCCCTTCCAGTTTATTGCCACTGAATCATGCTCCCTTCTGCTGTTCATACTTCTGCATGACTATCCTTCTTCATCAAACTTACCATAAAAATATGCAGGTTTCTCTCTTTCTTTGTGTCTTCATTTCTTAAAGCTCCTAAGTCATGTAAAACTTCTATTAAATAAATTTGTACGCTCTTCTTTTATTAATTTGTCTTTATTATAGGGGTCTTAGCCATGAACCTGTGATGCGTGAAGAAAAAAATTGCTTCTCCCCTATAGGAAAAACAAGCTGAAGGTGAGTGGTGGGAGAGTCTTCTTGAGTGGCTTATATAAAAAAGGGTATTCCTTAACTTGGACACTGGAGGACAAATTTAATCCAACAAGTAAGACCCTGACTAGCATTTTGCTCCCCTCCTCTTTTTCCTAAGAATAACCTTGTTAAGAATATAAGTGAGGCTGGATGTGGTAGCTCACACCTGTAATCCCAGTGATTTGGGAGTCTGAGGCTAGAGGATAGCTTGAGCCCAAGAGTTTGAGACCAGCCTGGGTAACATAGCAAGACCCCCTCTCTACAAAAAATACAAAAATTAGCTGTCTGTGTTGGCAAGTACTTGTGGTCCCAGCTATTTGGGAGGCTGAAGCAATAGGATTGCTTGAACCCAGGAGGTCCAGTTTGCAGTGAGCTGTGATCGCACCACTGCACTCCAGCCTGAGAGACACTAGAGTGAGGCCCTGTCTCCAAAAAAAAAAAAAAAACATAATAATTGAACATACCACATTAACCGTCTGTGACACACACACATTATACTTGTCCATAGATGCTGTATTATGACTGGTAGCTTGATTATTAGAGCAATTGTCTCCTGAGTCAATTATTATATCTACTAGCCAAGGTATTTATACATGGTTTAATAGTTTTCAAGACCAAAAAATTGGAGTATAGCAATAAAAATTACATTACAAAAGCAAAACAAAGTAATTTGGCTGAAGAATAAACCCAGGATTAGTTTTGCGCTAAAATGTTTAGCATTCCCTTGTCTTAAGAGAGGTTTTTCACTTATAAAACCTCAAATAACATGTTGTTATCTTTGTGCTTTTGAAACAATAAAAGCGGTAAAGGTTAGGTACACATAGTCTTTATTAGCTTTCACAAAGTTACTTTAAAATGTATGTGTATGAAGGGGAGTGGTATTTTTCTGTAGTCACCTTGGTTAATAAAAGTCAAATATATTCAAATGAGTCTTTCAGACTTCAATATTAATTTGTTTTAAAAAATAAGAATTAAACTTTAATAGAGATGCTTGAACACAATCTAAGAGACACTTTGGAAAAGTATCTCAAAATGTTGTTTTTCTAACCAGGAAATTAATGCTGAAAAAATTCATAGCCCAATTAGCATCACTCGTGACTACATAATCTTTCTTCTATGTTTTCAGGAATGCAACAGCTTGAGTTAGATGAAGATTAAAATTCTGGGGTTGAATTTAGCTGTGTACCTGAACACTGTGTAAATTCACTGAGCTCAGGCACACATTTGTTTACCTGAGAACTTTTCAATAAAGTCCTTACAATATGCTTATGGCTCCAAATAAGCTGCGAAAACCACAAATTCTAAAACTATGAATATGGTTTTGTGAAGTGGTACACTAAAATTAACACTACACTTTTTGAATAAAAGTCCAAGGTAGAAATGTCTCCAATTTTCTTGGGTAAGGAAACACAGCTGAAGCTTTGTCTATCGTGTTGCTGGGTAGCAATTTCTTAATGTAGCAAAAGAGTAACTTCCAGTGAAAGACAGGGAAAGTCATTCTACGTTGAGCATTCTGGGAAAAGTCTTCCACTTCATTCTTCCCTTGACTTGAGAAACACCTGGCATTTTCCTAAGATTGTCTATCAGATTTTCACCTGCTCTCCCGGAGAACACAAACTACATTATATTTTCAAATGGAGTACATCCCACTTGAGCTGTTTCCAACCCCCATTAGTCTTGTAGGGAGCAGATATGAAAATGAAAGACCTCTTATTTAATGATGATCATAATAATGACTAGCATGCATTAAACATTTACTGTATGTCAAGAACAGCAGTAGCACTTATGCCTATATTATTTCATTTAATCCTCACATAATGCAAGAAGTTGATTTCATATTCATCATCTCTAGGAGGTCATCAGTGCATTATAATTTTTTTAAAATACACAAATGAAAAAAGGGGGAAATGCCATAAACTATGATGTAATCTTTTCTTGTCACTTCAAATTTGTATTCTATACTTGTTGAAAGAGTTCTTGTATCATACCAATCTCTCCTTGCTTTGCAATTTTTCTCATTTACCTCAAGGGAGTTGCAATTTCTCCTGACTTCAGTTGTATGGCTTGCTGTGATAAGCAATCCTTCTACTGTGCATTAGTAAAAAAACATATAATCCAATTTCAGCTACTTGTGGGTATGTTTCTTTCTTGGATGTCATAAAACTCTTGTTTTTTTCTTTACAAGACAATCTGGCATAATGATCATTTTTCTAATGACGAATATTTGCTTCACGAATATGAAATCTAAACACCACTCCTCTGTTTTTGAGTATACATTAACTTTTTGTCTTAAAGCCAAATGTATTATTGAATTTATCTGAAGCCAATTTAAATGGCAAACTAATTCAGCATGTGCAGTAATACCAATGCTCATAACGCAGGTAAGATAACACTGGCCAGTGATGACCAGAAGTGTGTGTGTGTTCAGGCAAAGCCAACTACATTTCCACTATCATATGTGCAATAGTGACCACAAATCACCGCTGACTGTATAAGATACGAAAATGTGTAATTTTCTTGGCATTTATGCAATATGGTATATTCAAAACATTATATAATTGTTAAGAAGCTGAATCAGAAATGTTATACAAGAAATCTGACGCTCAATTGCACTCTCTAAATTGCTACATTTACACTAGTTTTAGGAAAATAAAGATGATAGATACATTCCCTTATCTTTAACTTTGCTATAATGAACTAAAGTTGAAACTCAATATAACTTTCACTTTAGGTCCATGGATTTAATTTCAAACCTTTGCTACTGCTGCTTCTTGTGCTTTTATTAAATAATGACATCAGTCTTGGTTCTGTGCATAAAGAGGTAATGGTTTCAGGCTGGAGAGTTTATGATCTAAATTAGACAGGATAAAACCAGGAAAAGAAATGACAAGAGATTGTGAGGAGCTGGTGTTGGTTTCAATTTATTTCATTTTCACAATGTCGATTTTCTTAATGCTTCCTCAATTCACACTTCCCATCTCTTTTCTCCCAATGATTTCTGAAATGTGTCAAGCAGGTAGTATGTTCCCTTTATTACAAGTGAAGAAATCTGAGAAGTCTACTAATATTCACACAGGTAGTAAGAGGAAGAGATACATAGTTCTGGCTCTTAGATTATCCCTGTATTCAAGACTATGTTCAAGAAAATGTAATCTTCTTGTTGTGTTTAATAAATAGATGAATACAATGTATCTGACCACACAAAAAGTCTCCAGTGAGAGAAGAATTTGACCACACACCAAATTACAAACATTTACCTTGAATTTGGTGAAAATGCAGCAAGATGGGAGAGTTTAGAGCATGTGCTCTGGAGTCAGCCTGTCTTGGTCCATATGCTGGCTGTGTCACTAACCAGCTGCACAAGCTTGGTCGTTATTTATCATCTCTGTGCCTCTGTTTTATTATCTGTAAAGTGGAGATAATAATAGCAACACATAAGAGAAAACAAAACACTAAACTTATATCAATGAGATTATGAGTAGACTCAAAAGAATGGTCTTTAAAATAGACAAATTCTGAGAACTACGTTGTTAAGAAAAAAAGAAAACATAAAATAGAAACTTAGAAATGATGAGTAAAACAATTTGGGAGAAAAGAGAAGGTGTTCTTTATTGTGATTTTAAACTTGAATTGACTACCAGTTCACCTTCAATTTTTACGTAAGTTATCATTCACCTATATATCTCTAATCTTTCTAGTAGGCCCTTAAAGGGTTATCACTTCCCAGACACCTTCTTTTGCTCTCTGAATAACTCTTCTGTTTAAATTTCTGGAAACATATCCATATATCATTTCCATAGTCCCAGTACTATTTGTTTATGTGCCTCAGCAAGTACAACTGATAAACACACTACTTTTTTTCCCCCAAACCAGACTGACTTCTTGATATTTGTGAAAACACTCGGGAGACATACTGAGCAAATGAATGCCCTTTAAATTTCTAGTCTTTTAGTAATGGAGATAGTTACTACTTTTTTTCAGGACTTTTAAAAACATGTCCACATGAAAGTAGCATATGGAAAAGTAATATCTCATTTGTGATAGTGTTAGAGTGCTCCAAAAGGGTAGTGGTGAAGAATAATTGTACAGCTGGGGTGAAATATCTTAATTCAGCAAGTAGTTTGTTTTCCCAATAGGAAAATCTAGGCTTGTTTTATATCACATAGGCATATAACTACAGCTACTGAACAACACACTCTTCACAGTAATGCAGGGTGGAAGGGTAGTGAATAATCTCAAGCATTAGGAAATAATAATGCTTTAATTTGTGGCAGACCATGGTAGCACTAGCTTGTCTTTCATATTTCCTTTCTTTGATTAACAGAGCCTCTTTTCTACTCCGAATGATTGAAGGGACTTTTAGTCAGGTATCCCCTCCCCCCAGCCACCATAGACACAACCACAGGGGCAGCACATGACCCAGTATCACCCAATCAGAGGACCCCATCCTCCAGTCTGCAGTGGTTCAGGAATAGGCACAGGACCAGGTCAGGCCAAGCAGAGTCCTTCTTGGGAAATTTCTACTTGTGCTAAAGGAATGATTTTATTTTCTTTCTGTTATGGTGTTAGAAGGTTGAAGCTGAAGCTCCTTGTGGCCATATTAAGGGAGGAAACTATCTGGTATAGAAGAAACTAAGGTACAAAGAGAAGCAAAGTCAAGCAAGGATGAGAACATGTGACATCTCGGAAGGACACCATTAACCTTTTACTCTACCTTGCACCCTTAGCATGCTTTTCCCCCTTGAATACCATATGAACAGTGCTTCCTGGGATAGTCTTAGAGAAGAGGAAAAAGCATCCAGGTCATTTTGAATGCCTAGTTCCAGCCTTTTATAAGCACGTTTCTTTAGCTTGTCCTTCAGTCCTATAAAATACCCAATATCCTGTCAAGTTTCATCAGCCAATTAATTCCATTTACCTTTTTATCTATTTGAATTGAACTTCCTTCACTTGCAACTGAAAGGGCACTGAATAATGCAAATATCTATAGCTTTACAAAGTGCTCTCCTACAGATAATTTCATTTCACACACAGGGTTATGGTGCCTGTTTTTGGATAAGAAAACAAAGAGGTTAAGGATTTGTCTGCCAGAACAGTGGTGCAGAATTTTTTAAATAGAAAAAGAGGGAACGAGGTGAGACTTATATCTAGGATATTTTCCATGTACGTTCAATGAGTTTTCCTCCACGGAATACTATGCCACATCTTTTGTCTCCAAATTCAGGTCGGATTTAGGAAAACATTCCTGGATCCTCACGAACTCACTGCTGATTCCAGCTAAGAGCTCTTCATTCCTCCTGCCCACACTCTAGTCTGAAGAGAAGCTTACTACTGAACCCCAACTGTATTTACCAATGCTTTTTAATACTTAATATTTATTAAACACTTACTATCTTCCAGGCACTGCTTTAAGCGCTGAATTTGTATTAACTTATTTAATCCTCAGTAAATATTTGTAAGATAGGTATGATAATTATTTCTACTTAATGCATCAGGAAAAAGAGGCACAGAGAGATTCTGTAACTTGCCTAGATCACAATACTAGGTAAGTGGAGCATGGATTGAATGCAGAAAATTACACCTCAGTGAGTGTGCCTTAGCCCATATAGTCATCACATTTTGTTCAGATGGTCTGCTTTAGACTCTTGAATGTATCTTATATCACCTGCACACCTGGGTACCCTTTCTAATTCCCACTCTCATATTTTGGATATTTCCTATCACATAATTTTTGTAGCCAGAGTACATATGGGAGCTGTTTGCTCCTCCTCTTTTTTCTTCCTTGGCTCAGTGCTCCTCGGTATATGACCAAAAGTAAATGAATGCTCATTGCATATGCCCAGATATTTGCAGCACTTGGTTCTACAGGCTGACAATAGGAGAAGAGTGGGCCAAATCTGAGCTGGCTATGTACTGAACTAACATTGCCTAACAGAGACTACCCAGGGCACCCACAAGTAACAAAACTATTTCTAATATTTACTTTTCCTTTCTTCCTGTTGGCCTTCGATCATATGAAGTACTACCCAAGATAAACTATTCTCTTTCTGAAAATCATGAGGCTCGTTATCTGCTTTTGCTCACTGTATTTGGTAAGTTGCACGATATATGAAAATAGTTTAAATATCAAAGACAAATTTAGGTAAACTTAAAAAGCTAATTTACTTGAGTGATCGAAGATACTGACAGAATAAAAGGGAAACTGGAAAAGTAGCCTTTAAAACAGAACGGGAAATATCACAAACCAAGAGAACTTGATGATCCAGCCGTCTGCTGAGTCCAAATGCTATAATTAATAAGTTCCAAATATTTTGTTTTGTGATTCAGTCAGCCCAAGATTCTAGGCAAGGCTGGGTGCAGTGGCTCACACCTGTAATCCCAGCACTTTGGGAGGCCGAGGCAAGAGGATTGCCTGAAGTCAGGAGTTCAAGACCAGTCTGGCCAACATGGTGAAACCTCATCTCTACTAAAAATACAAAAAAGAATTAGCCAGGTATGGTGGTGTGCACTTGTAATCCCAGCTACTTGGGAGGCTGAGGCAAGAGAATTGCTTGAACCTGGGAGGCGGAGGTTGCACTCCAGCCTGGGCAACACAGTGAGACTCCATCTCAAGAAAAAAAAAAAAAGATCCTAGGCAAGTCCAATCTACTTACTTGAGTTCTGTACCTAGCTTTTACCCTGAGGCAGGGCAGGACAAATGGCTAACTTTAAAATTGCTCACAAATGAACAAATTACCCCAAAAGCATCAGTAAAATTCAAAATGGCTGACGGTTGTTAGATGGCCAAACAATCACAGTGATGCTTACTCTACAGTACCGACGCTAGCACCACAACCTTAACCATAATTATCAGGTTATTCTCAGTTTCAGCGTTTACATTAAATGGTACCTAGAGGGGGTGCTTTTATTCAGAACCTTATGAAGATGACAAAGGATTTACTGAGGTCAAATAACTCAATACTTGGTAATGTTACTAAGATACATGTTAGAATACAATGAAATGGAATGGATACATAGGAAGTTCTGCCAACCAGCACTTTGTCTCTCTTAGAACTTATGATTAGACTGGAACAAAGAGGTTAAGGGGCTCGCCCAGAACAGGATCAGCTTTTCCATGCTGGAATACCTATTTCTGCCTTATGGGCCTCAATCTTTGATCTCGGACTTATTTAAAATCTCCACTTTTATCCATTAATCATTGTCAAGGTTTGTCTTCTGACAAATACTTTGCTGCACTTTGGCTTTGTAGCATGGCAGCTCTCTGCCTCTCCAACATGAACTCTAAATCTGTGGCTGTTTTCTTTGATGACTACCTTTTCTTCACAGGTTCAGCAATCTCTATGCTGCAGAGGTATCTTTGAAAAAGGGAATTACTTGAACCAGTTGGCATAACAACTGAATACTGATTCTCCTTTGCAAGAAAACATGGATATCATGATAATTTCTGAACAAGACAATTCAAAATCATCAATTTTTGTTCCCTCTAATCCCTTGCAATGAGACCTCAGGGGTAGGGTATAAGCATTATTTTTATTGTTATTATTATACTTTAAGTTCCGGAGTACATGTGCAGAACATGCAGGTTTGTTACATAGGTATACACATTCCATGCTGGTTTGCTGTACCCATCAACCTGTCATCTACATTAGGTATTTCTCCTAATATTATCCCTCCCCAATCGCCCCATCCCTTGCTATCCTTCCCCTAGTCCCCCAGTGCCTGACAGGCCAAGGTGTGTGTTGTTCCCCTCCCTGTGTCCATGTGTTCTCATTGTTCAATACCCACTTTTGAGTGAGAACATGCAGTGATAAACATTAATTTTAAGTAACTTATGGGTTACACTTCCTTTCTGGAAATGATTCTACTAATAAAATCAATGAAACAAATCAAAATTGGCCTTTCATACTTTATGGTTAACATGGCCTCCCCTGGATGTTCAGAATAGCATTACTTCTCACACCGAATTGTTAGGTTCAATTTGAAAACTCAACTTCTTTTGATTTTCAGAATTAAAGCTTTCTGGAGTCTTTGCGCTACACTTATTTGTTCAATCCCAAACTTTAGACTTTTCTTTCTTCCTGAAAACTATCCTTGGGCTTTAGAAATGCAGCTGCCTCCACTCATCATCTCTGCCTTCCCCTCACATACTCTTCTCTCTCATGTTCACGGTGTCATGCCCTCCTTCACAATCAGAACCTCTCAACTAAGATGCTCATCAACTGCTTAGTTACCTTGACTGCTGCCACCTTCTTCTCTTCCAGGTTTTCCTTTGTCATGTACCCATCTATTTAAAATCCCTCTGCCAAGATATTCTATTCATGTAGCTACAACCAAGACACCTGTATCTTCCCAGCCATCTATAGCTTCTCTTTCCTCCCTGACTTCTAATTTCTGGCTACTTTCAATCCATCAATCAACAAAAATTTACTAGCTTGCTTGCAGGATTCTACAAACTGTGCTAGCAACTCTATTCAAAAGAAAAGAAGACTTGTATGTGGTTTCCATCATCAAATGTACTGCAAATGTCTTTAGGGTGAAAATATAAATGGAAATGAAACAAATTAATTATAATTTTAGTCACTACCCTGTGGTGGTACATATCTATCAGGGGAGTTCAGTAGACAGAGACAGAGGGTTGGGCTTGAGAATTTAGAAGGCATTTAATCTAGAGGTTTCCAAATATGACTGATTATTAGAATAATCTAAGGAGACTTAAAAGAAGCAAATACCTTAATTTACTGAATCAGCATCTCTGTATCCATATTACATATATTTATTATTATTATTAAATTATATATTAATATATTTCACAATATAATTATAAATGTAATTAATATAGGAGATATAATTATATATATTATAAAACCAATATATTATATTACATATAATTAATATGCATATTATATATTATACTGATACAGTTTGGATATTTTTGCCCTCCAAATCTCATGTTGAAATGTGATCCCCGGCAATGGAGGTGGAGCCTAGCAGGAGGTGTTGGGGTCATGGGGCAGATCCCTTACGCATGTCTTGGTGCCATCCTAGCAGCAATGTCTGAGTTCTCACTCTATTATTTCTCACAAGAACTGATGGTTAAAAAGAGCCTAGCACCTCCTTTTCTCTCCCTTGCTTGCGTCCTCTCACTTTACACCATGTGATCTCTACACAGCAGCTCCTCTCTGCCTTGTGCTGTGAGTGGAAGCTTCCTGGGACCCTCCCCAGAAGCAGATGCTGGCACCATGCTTCTTGCACAGCCTGCAGAACAGTGAACCAACTAAACTGCTTTTCTTTATAAATTACCTAGCCTTAGGTATTTTAAACATACTATATATATGTATTTGTTTTAGTCAATTTTCATTGCTATACCTTTATAGCAATGAAGGTATAGCAATGAAAATTGACTAAAACAAATACATATATATAGTATGTTTGTGCATATATATAGATATATATATACACAAATACACATATACATATACATAAAAATAAACACCTCCCAAGTGATTTTCATGATTACTCTTATTTATGATCCAAAGTCTATTCCATTTTTATATTTTTTCGATCAAAGTACAAAATGAATTGA